GACAATGGCTATGGCCACCGACTAGTATAGTCACTGCTCAGGAGGAAAGCAACGGCAAACTACCTTCTGCAAATTTTGCCAAGAATCCATAACAATCATGAAAGAAAACATAACTCCAAAGAAATAGTGAAAATCATAACTTATTTCTTAACATAGCAAAAACAAAGATAATGCATACAAACAAAACTGCCATGGAGAAGGAAATATATGTTAATGAGGAAAGATTGGAAGTGGTGGAAAATTTCGAATATCTTGGGTCACTGGTTACCAACAATGGTGACACAATGAAAGAAATTAGACGGCGACCATCAATTGCTCTTCAAAGACTAAAACAACTGAATAAATTATGGAATTGTACAGATAGAATTACAAAGGTCAGATTTTTAAGAGCATGCATCTTTCCCATTGCAACATACGCCTGTGAGACCTGGACACTTACTAAACAAGCGGAACAGCGCATAAATGCATTTGAATATAAATGTTACAGACAGGTTCTAAGAATATCTTGGGTAAAGAAAAGAACAAATGCATCCATACTTCAAGAGCTGAATATTGAAGAGGGTTGGCTAGTAAAGACAATAAAACAAAGAAAATTGAAATATTTTGGTCACTTGAAACGTCATGGAAGTCTAGAGAGAACAATAATGGAGGGGTATATGCCGGGGAAGAGAGGAAGAGGAAGGCCAAGGAGAAGATGGGTGCAGGATGTGGCAGATGATCTCCAGATGGGTGTATCAGACGCAGGACATCTTGCTCAGGATAGGATAGTTTTCCGGAGGGTTGTTATGGCAGCGAGGTTCCGCGAGGGACATGCTACTGAATGAATGAATGAATGAAACCACATAATACTTGTATCCACGAACAAGAGAATATCCATCGTCAATGAATTCGTAATAATCGCACTTTGTTATCAAGAGAAAAACACCGATTAAGTGAAAATTTTAGAATAAAATCGAGTGTCGCCGCAAACACGTCTTCACGCTGCCATTTCTAAACCGGAAGTCTGACAGGAGTAGTGTCATTGATGCCACGCGAGATGCACATCGAGAAGTAGATCATGACAACAAGCAGGATTCAGTATCCTTGTCCAGGTTGGTGCATTTGAGAGCGCAATCTGCAGCAGCCAAACATGAACATTTCACTAAGAGTCACAGATCTGATTAGTCAATACAGAACGGGTGTGATTAGTTGTTGTACTCTGGTGAAGCATATGAAGAAACTGGAGCACCTCTAGATCATACTAGAGTGTTGTAATGGTAGTATTGTAAGTGGTTTGTTTACTCGCATTTGGGAAGCTCTAAAGCAATCTATTGTGTAAACTCTGTTCAAAGAACAGTGGTGAACTATTCCTGCCAGTCCTCATTGGGTTGCTACAGTACCTTTTTGATGGTCGCACAGCTGTCTGTCTCCTCGGTGTACAAGACAGTTCGGTGGCATGAATATACGAATGACTATTAATGGTGAAGGTTCAGTCCGATGCTGAATCTAACTAACTAGTGGCACCAAGCTGAATAAATCCTTAGTGCAAGCATGGGTGTAGTTTTGCAACTCAGACCAAAGAAAAATGTTGTTACTGCTAATACTTCCATTCTTTATACTTGTCTGTGACAAGGAAAGGACAATTGACTTCCTTTTTAACTGAATCCTGTGAGTATTTTAAGATTTTGAGACATGTATACACTTATTCAAAACTAAATACACAAAAAACTGTATAAAAATTTAACTATTTTATTCAGAACAATTGTCTTTACTTCATGGTGGTCTCGGCCTCTGCTGCACTCTTTTTATCTTCTGTTCAATTTTGTTAGAACACACACAAAAAAGGTTAAGAGCTGTGTAAATGTGAATTTTTTCCCCAGGATTTTCTTCATGTACTCACATAATAGTTTTAGTGTCCTCAAGCTGATCTTAGTCTTCTGCCGTTTCTTGTGTTCAGCGCTTAAGACAATAGGCCTCCTTTGTTGGCTTTTATTTTAGAGTATGTGTATGTCTTTTTTTTCTTTCTGTCTTTTATATCCCAAATGGAGCATCAACCCTCAGCCAACTCATGTCTCATGAGGTTGGTTTTGCAAATGTCAGTCATCTTCATGCTATGCTCCATGGTAAGGAAATTAAATCTCCACACATGACTATCTCCAGTATAACAGAAGTTGAAGTGACATCATATCTTCATCATAAAGCAGATATGGATTCCTTTAACTATAGGCATGGGCAATAATTATATCTGCTGCTATCTCTCTAATGCTGGCTATTAACTGATGTACTACTTACGGCTGTCCAACATACCTTTCCTCTTAAAATGTGTTTGTCTTAAAAAACATTTTTATTGACTACATTGTGTTTTACGTTACTTTGGTAACACTGTGAATTGGACATTTTAAAATGTTAGTTCTTTGGGAAAGGAATACAGATTCTTTTCTAGCTGTGGATTAAACTGTACTTTTTATTTCAGTATGGTGACCATTGTTAAGTTCATCTGTCTCTAATAATGGATAATCTTCCTTTTGTGCTGTATTTTTACTGACAACATTCATGAGAAATGAGTTTCCTGTTCACATTGTCATTTTTTCCCCCTGCACTGCCCTATTTGTGACTGAACATGGTTTGGGGGCAAAAAGCGGAAACATTTTATGGTTTGTTAATAAAAACATTTCCCTGTCCCAAAAATATTTAAGCAATGAAATTTGATCTTGTTTCCCCCTGTGAAATGAAAGACTCAACTCCCAAAGGTGGCTAATGAGAGAACATTATACACAACTACGAAAAAACAGATAGAAATTGTTCTTTGGTTACATAGTAAGAGGCTTTGCAAAATAATGTGTAAAATACTAGAAAGATAATTATCAGGTATAGAACAGCCTGATAGAGACGAGGAGAAACAAGCTAGACAGTCTAAGACATTTCTATGGAGAAATATTACAACTGATCCTGAACAGGCAAATATGAATGCCTATACCATTTGGCAAGGCACATTAGGATATTGATCATTATTCCTTTTTTCACTTCCAGTATTTAAAGGGGTTTGTTTTTGTTCAAAAAACATAGTATCCCCATAAAAACTATAATGCTACTTAATATCTGTATCAGCAAACCTGATATAGTGTACATTTCCAGGATTCTTTAACCAATAAACAGAAAACTGACACAGATTTACAAGAAAACAACAGCATATGACACGGCAGACATTGTGGCTAAATTACCCTCATCAGCAAAACAAAAAATAGTTACAAATATTTCAATTTTATTTATTTATTGAATATTTACAACTTCAGCAGAGATCATTTAGTGAAGTTTTACTCTTCAACTTAAATGGCAAATTAAAAGCTGTAGGTTTTGTGGTTTCTTACAGCTATACATATTCTGGTTATTATTTTAGTTTTTTAAATTGTCACACGTTCAATGACAACTACAAAACTGAAAAGGTCTTTTCATGTCTGGATTGCTATACAAATACGTAACTAAACTAAATAAATGATCTACAGAAGGACATTCCGAATATATTTTTACTTGACATGGAATGAAATGTGTTTAACAAAAATTAATTAAAAGCTCTGATTATGAATCTTCTGATTACAGTAAGAAAACCTCTTTATAATGCATACCTGATTACTTTATTGCAGAAAATCTGCACTTGTATGTAACTTAGGACACAGCATGTATTAATAGCTTTCATACATTTCTTGATGCCCTCTTTACATTCTCCAATCATTATGTAGACTAGTATAACTTTGCAGGAAAAGTAAAGATTTATAATCATGTGCCATGCCAAGAAATGGTCATAGTTCACCATCTCATATAATCACCAGAATGATAGATCAGGTCAGTGATCTTGTCCTGCCAAAGTCATTCAGATATGTATCTTTCTTTTCATTGTCCCCCCCCCCCCCCCCCCCCCCCCCCCCCCCCATCAAACATGTCAACTGTCAACAAGTTTTGTAAATTATTTTTTTTAAATTTATGTCCTAAAAATCTTATGTAAAGTTAGGATGGTGATTTATGAGTATCCACACACTAATACTGCTTCTTTACAGTAAAATATTAGTTTCTTAAATAAATGAAAGTTACACAGCAGTAACTAGGACTAGGCCCTGGCATCACAGTGGGAAATGCCTGCCTAGTCAGCAGCTTCACTTCAATCCCCAGCAGAAGTAGGATCAGTTTTTCCCCATCAAAACTGCTCTTGTCTTGACCCAGCCTCATCAGAATGGGTACCAGCTAATTTTCAGAATTTGATAGGAAGGGCAGATGATGAGGAAGGGAACTGGCCATCACACTTGATTATGCTATAATCTAGGATATCTAAATGCTCAATACTTCCTTCACAAATCGCAAATTCCTCTATGGAACTATCTTTCTTTTCTTGCTTTTGCGCAGATTGTGACAGGTACAGCTCAAGATGTGACAAAGATATAGAATTCACCTATTTAGTGACTCTTGTATACTAGAATGAGTAATATCCTTGAAACAAAAATTTGCTCGAAAATAAATACCATGACAAGCAGAATTATCAGCTTAGTGAAAGGCTATGTATGGCCTCTTCTGGTGGATGTGAAATTTGTATAGCAGATAATAAAATCACAGTTGTTTTTAGGAGAATGTTGAGAACACTGAGAGCAAAGAAAACCTGCAAAGAAAACCTAGAGATCACAGAGAATAGTTTACAGTGTAGAGAGTTTTCTAAAATAAGTGGTGCAAAGGCAAAATCAGTCTTAAACAGAAAATTACTGTAAAAAAAAAAAAAGAGCTAGACATAAACAAATGGTATGTGGGACATAAATTGATAATTGGCAGTTTTTAACATATCAGATGAAAGAGGGGAGTGAAGAAAAATTATCGTTACTGTCTGCTCGAGCCAGAGACCAGAAAAAAGCTCTGCATAAAAATGAATTTGAGGTCTGCTTATAAAGAACAAATGAAAATCACCAGGAGTGGCTGGCATATTTTAAAAACCACCCACTAATCCCCTAATATAAAAACATCTTTAAGATCACAATCCAGACCTAGGAAACTGCATTCATGTCTTCAGAATATCTATGTACAGCATCCACAAACACAGCCACATGGTCAGGGTCAGTATCTTTCAGAACACCATGACCCAAATTAGCAATGTAACGCTGAGTACCAAACTTGTTCAGCATCTCTTTCACAGCCTTTTTTATTTCATCCTAAAAATAAATTTTGAAACATAAATAAACTTATGAACTATACCTAGAATTAATGTCAATTATTTATATTAGTAGATAAAATGTATGCCTAAAACAAAGTATTTCTAAAGTTGTTTAAACTAAATGACAATAATCATTATTTAATTATGCTTGAGGAAAGCAGCCTACTCAACTATCTGAGATGAGTGAGAAATGACACTAACAGACGGAATAATGATTTTCATCAAACTCATTGTGGAGGAGAAGATCTGCAGAGAATTCTGCCTGACCCAACACCACCTCCATGGGAATTGTGTTGCAGAGCTCTACTTCTTCTCACCAAACACAAGTGGAGGGGAGCTGGAGTGTGTACAAAACTAGCTCTTGTAACCTCACTGATTGACTTCTACTCTTAGGCCAAACAGAATGATATATACATAAAATAAACTGGAATTATTCAGAAACAATGTAACCAGCATATAGTGTATAACTTTATTGCCAACTTTTTATATACTTCCTGTTACACATACTATTTGTAGTCCACTGATTACTACTGTCATGTTTGCTTCACCCTAATAGCTATGGGTGCCTTAGGGTCTAACATTTCTGGTGTGTTGAGATTCTATTCTATTGCTGCAATATTTTGTTTTGGTGGTTTCTTGCAAAATTCTAACAAGGAATGTCTTATTCTATGTTCACACTACTCCAGATTTTTCGAACCCACTGAAGCAAACCGGTTATCTTTTTCTAATGTAATTATCAGATCAATCACATCTAAGCAACTGCCTCTCTGCACAGCATGTTTTTACAATTTGGCTTTCTGGTTATGTATAAATTTTTTATTCTGAAAGAATCTAAGCACTCTTTCTGTGCTGGAGGACTTGCATTGAGCATAGTGGTGCTACATTGAAAAATGATACATATACTCTTTACTATTTTTCAAAAATGAGGGGAAGTCAATAAGTAAGTCACAAATGGTTACGGGATAGCAGAAAATGTAGTTGGTGGTTTCTAAATGTGACAGCAACATCGAACTTTATGTCTTCGTTTGTTAGGTGGCGCTTAGGTGTTGCATGCACATTCACAGCACAAAAACAAAATGGCAACTGTACTCACGGAGAGTATCCTTAAAGAACAACGTGCTGTCGTGCATTTTTTGGTGGCAAAATGACTGCCTGCAAAGGGCATTCATAAGGAAAGGCTTCCTGTTTATGCTGACAAATGTTTATCCCCTAAAGCGGTGCATAGCTGAGCACACAAAAAATTCCCAAAGACGCTCTAAAATTGTTGATGAAGTCCGATCTAGTTGTCCTGTTAAGATTGTAACGGACGCATCTATGCAGTGGGTGGAGGAGATGATTGGAGGTAACAGGTGAGTAACAGTTGACTCTGTAACAGCTGCAATAGGGTTGTTTACATGGTTCAGAATTCAGCTTAGCTTCTATCGATTTCCACCTTTTTGATCCACTGAAAACCCCTTTGGCAGGAGACATTTTTCAACTGACGCAGAAGTTGAGTGTGAAGTGAAAAGGAAGTTTAGAAAACACAGCACGCACGTCTATGCAGCAAGTTTGAGAGAAATGATAAAACAATGGGACAAGTGCATCAATGTTGGTTGAAATTAGTAGAGAATCAGTATAGAAAGAAAATTATTATGGCCTCGAGAGAATGAGGCACCAGGGTGTCACCAGAGGGTCTGGCCGGCTCACTACACTCAGAGGAAAGGCAAGATGGACATTTAACCAGATTGTGACTTGGAACTTGATTGTATTGGAACTCTGCGCTGGCTGCTAAAGATGAGGACGGAGCATGCATCAGAATGCCCCGAGTGCTGTGATGTCAATTCTTGACTCAACTTAACCCAACTGTTGGTGGAAATTATGTTGAAAAAAAGGGACAGTGTATGTGTAAAAATAAAAGGTTTTCAAGTTGTTATTGCTTTTCTTTTAAACCACCATTTGTGACTTACTTCTTGACTTCCTCTCGTATATTCACACACACACACTTTAAAGTTTTTTCATTTGAAGCCACTAAGTACATATATACTGACAATGAAATGAGTACGCCATTTCTCATGTCTTAACACAGCTTGATTTTTAGCATGTTACTTTACTGGGTCTCTTTGTAAATGTAACTGTGTTCTTTGCTGCAAGTTAAATGCTTAATTTGAAACAGAGATGTTTCCCTGTCAAACTACTGTCTAAAAGCACTAATACGGTGAGCTGTAAAAATTTATGAGTTATGTTCCCTTTCAGCTTTCTGTTTAGCTCCTACATGTAGCTAACTGTTCTAAAACAACTGAAGTAAAAAAGAGAAATCTGGGATGGCACTGGAATGACAAAGTGAAATAATCAATACACTTACTTTTGAAGCAAACAGCATGACTGGATCCAGGTTACCTTGAAGTGTTACACGATTACCTGCTAATTTTCTGTGATGAATTACAACAGCAGATTATGAAAGTCCTTTTTTTTATATATTTGAAAATCTAGTCAATTTGTTTAAAATGTGATTAAAATAAATTATTATATCAGTTATAAACATAAATCCCATCATCTAAGAACCAAAGAAAAAGAGAAAGCCAATCAGAGAGATAAATGTCAGCAAGTTGTATCTGCAGCAAAGAACTCTAAGGACTTGGATTGCTGAATAAAAAGAAATCTTTGAACTCATTACACAAATGTTATCTAATTAGCCCAATGTTTTATATCAAAGATTAGAAACATTTATTAAAAACTAATTATATTCACATACTGAGTTTTAAATAATAGAAAAATGATATAATGGGTTGGGCCTTATATATATATATATCTGTGTGTGTGTGTGTGTAAGAAGAGAGAGAGAGAGACGGGGGTGGGGAGAGAGAGTAGGTAGGTAAGTTGTACCCTACCAGGACAGCACACAAGCGATAATCACCCGGAGACACAAAGTGCTACCATGCGGATGAGGATCACTCGTTGAAAGGTCCTGGAAACCCTGTCCAGCCATTATGCCCTATTTAAAGCCTGGCTATATTCAGCCCCCCCCCCCCCCCCCCCGGCAAAAGCCTGAGTAGGGCTTCAAAATAATTAAAAATTGCATTAAACATGGGGACGACACTGCGGCTGTCATGTGACTAACAATGTTTAATTGTTTAATTATTTCTTCACACAAATATTTTTTTTTAAACAAAGGGAATTAACCACTAAACACAAACAGAGCAAAGAACTACCTTATTTTCTCAAGCATAAGAGGCACTTATTTGCCAAAAATATAGGATCTAAAACAGTGTGCATCCTATAAAATCGCAGACTTTTACCATATGATTTAATATTCCATACAGGACCTCATTTGGGAATGCCGGTTCAGGGGTGACATAAAATGGAGAAAAAGAATTATAAAATTAAAAGTTCTTTCTCCACTGTAATATTTTTTGTGCTTGTCATTATGCTAATTGTTTCACACGTGTTACATCAGGTTATGTTTTGCCCCAAAAAAATCTGAGAAAAGATATTCCTATAGTGCTGAATCAAGTTAAAAGTGATCCAGTTTGCAAAGTGAATGCAAATCGTGCTGCTGGATGTAAATATGTCCTCCTCCAGCTGAGAAAACTATCCAGGACTGGCTTTGGGAAGAAAAATTCTGACTGAAGACGCCACGGAAAAAGATAACGTGAAGACCGAGATTATTGTCAAGTCATTCAAGAAGTGAGGCACTTCAAATGCCGCAGATTGAACAGATGATGAGGCAATACATGAAGACAGTGATTCATCATTAGACACAGATGATGAGGCAATACATGAAGACAGTGATTCATCATTAGACACAGATGATGAGGCAATACATGAAGACAGTGATTCATCATTAGACACAGATGATGAGGCAATACATGAAGACAGTGATTCATCATTAGACACAGATGATGAGGCAATACATGAAGACAGTGATTCATCATTAGACACAGATGATGAGGCAATACATGAAGACAGTGATTCATCATTAGACACAGATGATGAGGCAATACATGAAGACAGTGATTCATCATTAGACACAGAGGACAGCAAGCTGAAGAACTATCATAAGGATGAATTCTGAGTGATGAAGAGTTTTATGCATTCTATGATAAATAAATGGTGAGCTCAAAAATTTTATGTAATCATGTTTTTGTTTTCCTCAAAATGTCTGGTCTCAAAATCAAGTTGTGTCTTCTACATGGGACTGTCTTATACTTGGGGAAATATGGTAACTGCTCCACCCCCCCCCCCCCTCCCTTAACCACAAAAATTGCATTTCTGTAGAATTCCATGTTGAGCAAGGTGATATTATTATGTGGTGCTATGTCACACTGAGAAAGAAAAAAAACTATTTGTTCACCCTATATAATATCTACAACTTGTTCTTGTGGTCAATATAATCAGACCCACCACATATGCACACTAGGCAGTTGCAACCAGTACTACAGCTATTATATAAGCATAGTGGCCAATGCCCAAAGACATCATCCATCAAAATCCAGTAAATGCTGCAAACCTGGCTCATGCAGGGTGACAGGGTTCAAATATATATATATGTGCACACGCATACAAATTCAACTGTATTTCTCAATACTTTGTTATTCTATGAACAATTTCAACTACATGTAATATGTAATGTATCTTTGATTATAAACTTTCAAATGTTTCATAAAAATGTCACCTGGCACATGTTCACCTGTTCAACTATTGGATAATAATTTTGTTCTACAGCTGAAAAAAAAAGAAGATTGTTTCTAAACAAGAAGAAAAAGAAACACTTCAACATTCTTTAGATATCTGGGATACAGCTTACAAGTCATATCTCAGTCTACTGTTCTGTTATTAAATGATAAGTCATTGTTACATAAATGTCTTTTGTTGCACCAGTTTTGTATATTATAACGTTTTTCCCCTCTGGTGCCAACTATGTTCCCAGATAAACAATGACAAACACATTCACAAGTAACATTCAGTTAGGCTTGGATTCTGATTCCTTGTTAGGGCTGGCCAAATAATACTATATGCCTCTATCTTCACAGAAAAATTAACAAATTACAATATTTATAAACGGCTACAATTTGGTAAAAACCCACATACAACAGATTATCAAAAATGATGGAGAATTGCATTTTGTTAAACCACATGACGAACTGGTTGGTATCTGGGCATATAATGGACAGACCATAAAACATAAAACCAAGTGCTTGGAGGAGGAGATATTACCACAGTACACTTTTTCCTCAAGCAGAGACCTCCTTAGTGGCTGGGAAATGTATCTCAAAACGGAGGAGGGACAAGTTCCCACAGATCACCTTTACAGAGAACTAACCACAGAGAAAAGAGTGACCAGAAGACATCAAGCATTAATTTTTTTAGATAAAGTTATTTTGTAACAGTTTTTTCAACTGTGTTTATCATTACAACACACTGAGTTCTGCAGAAATATTACTGGAATGATAGTCATTATTGAATGTGAGACCATCAAATGAAGAATTCTAAATTGTAATTTTTTTCTATACTAGCTTAGGAAGTGAGTTCATCAATACTGATATAAATCTTCAGATTAGAAAGAGTCTTTACCTAGCATGCAGTGTTTGCACACACCAGTCTAGCCCAACCACATCATATCCCGAAAGGGAGAGGTCTTCAATGGCAAAATGAGCATCTTTAGCAAACACAATCTGAAATATAGGAGACTTTTTTTTACTCAAGCAAACTATGAACAAGAACAGATTGGCTGAATTCTGCAACCATGGTTTTCTATCGGATCAAGTAGACAGCCTCACACTTAGCAGATATGTCTAATGACATAACTTAACAGACATGTCTAATGACATGACATAACAGACATGTCTAATGACATGACATAACAGACATGTCTAATGACATAACTTATCAGACATGTCTAATGACATAACTTATCAGACATGTCTAATGACATGACATAACAGACATGTCTAATGACATGACATAACAGACATGTCTAATGACATAACTTATCAGACATGTCTAATGACATAACTTAACAGACATGTCTAATGACATGACATAACAGACATGTCTAATGACATGACATAACAGACATGTCTAATGACATAACTTATCAGACATGTCTAATGACATAACTTATCAGACATGTCTAATGACATAACTTATCAGACATGTCTAATGACATAACTTATCAGACATGTCTAATGACATAAGTTAACAGACGTGTCTAATGACATAACAGACACATCTAATGACATAACAGACATGTCTAATGACAAAACTTATCAGACATGTCTAATGACATAAGTTAACAGACGTGTCTAATGACATAACAGACACATCTAATGACATAACAGACATGTCTAATGACATAAGTTAACAGACGTGTCTAATGACATAACAGACACATCTAATGACATAACAGACATGTCTAATGACAAAACTTATCAGACATGTCTAATGACATAAGTTAACAGACGTGTCTAATGACATAACAGACACATCTAATGACATAACAGACATGTCTAATGACAAAACTTATCAGACATGTCTAATGACATAAGTTAACAGACGTGTCTAATGACATAACAGACACATCTAATGACATAACAGACATGTCTAATGACAAAACATAACAGACATGTTCTATAACATAACATTACAGACATGTCTAATGACATAACAGACATATCTAATGACATCCATGATAGGTTAGTGTATCCCTTATTTGTATTCCCATATGGTTTCTCTCCTTTTTTTTTAATGCATGCATGTTGTATGCTGATCATACAAAGCATACAAACATGTGGTCAAATGACTGTCTAGGATACGAGCTCTGCTTGAACACTGCAACTTGCACATAGTCAGGAAAACTCAAATGATGGTATATCACGACAGCCACATGCATCATCACCCAAGACAAGCTTTCATCACAGAGAACGCCCAGCTTTCCTTGGCTCAACTCTGCCAACTGGACTTTTATTTTCTTGACTGCACTCCTGACGGGTCCCTTGACTGGCCTCTCTAATGTTCTTGACAGTTCTCTGCTCAACTGAACTCAACCCCAGTATATACACATGCCTGCTCTGTGACCTCTCCGTGCAAATCAAGACGCTCACAGTCAGGCACAATTCTCCCTTTCTGTCCTGCCCAATCTCACTCAACATGAAGTAAGTAGGATAATTTACCCTAAGCTAGTTGACACCTCGGGAGCCTACTGGTCACTCCAACCCCAAGTCAACACAGAATCACAATACTGACTCAAATACAGAACACAGCGATGCGGGTCATTCTGGGTTGCACCAGAGACACTCCAGTGGTGTGTATGCGATACATCCTTGGTTTGCCGACGACTGCAGGTAGGCACACGGTGCTGCAGGCGAAGTCATATCTCAGGGTAGCTGCAGACACAGACCACCCTTTGCATAATGCTCTGTCAGGTTAAGGGTCAGCGGCTGATAAGATTGAGGTCATAGATGGCTCAGGCAGAAGACACAATCAGACAGGTTTGCATCCTTGAGAACATTAGGCGAGGAGAGGAGTGTGTCAAAGTGCCACCTGAACAGTTAGACTTGTGTAGAGTCATAATTACGCTGAGCCGGGAATGCAGAGACTGACCAGCAGGTGCAACGGAGTTGGAAATTCAGCAATTAATTCAAGATAATGCTCGCTCAGAGGATTTGATCATTTACACAGACGGTTCAGTGTCAAGAGGCAAAAGAAGTGTTTGGGGCTTCTTAGCAAAAGTTAATGGTCGACGTTTGGTGCAGGAGAGCCTAGCATATGATGCCACAACATCCAGCTTAAGAATGGAGGTGGAGGCAGTCACTGCAGCTTTCCGCTGGCTATAGAACATGACACACACACACATACATCGTGATTGTAACTGACTCAGAAAGCATGCTGAGAAAGATCAGAACAGGTATGCTTCGTGCAGAGTGGCATGCTTCGCTGCGGAGGACACGAGTAAGGAGTATTGTCTGGATTTTTTCATGAACAGGCAGACAGACTTGCTGGCTCTGCACAACTTGGTGGAATACTGATACAGGATAAGGCAGACGTGGTTAGTGCCTTGTGGGAGAGCGTTTACAGTTCGGAGGAGCAGATGAATCACCACAGTATGGTGAGACTGATGCAGGAGGGAGTGACGAGATGTTCTGGCAGATGCTCGAGGCTCAGAGGAAAGGCAAGACAGACGTTTAATCAGAATGCTACTGGCACCATTAGTATCGGAACTCTTTGCTGGCTGCTGAAGATGGGGACGGAGCGCTTATGAAAATGCCCCGAGTGCTGTGATGTCGGTTCTTGAATCAAATCAAATCAATCAAATCAACTGACTCAAGCCACGCTGACATCTTTTGTCTTAAGTCAACCCAGAGTCAAAATATCAACCAGTGGACTCATGAATCAACAGCTTATACTACATTCGCATAATCAGTGTTGAAAAAACCAAATCGACACGCAACAATGTACACACACAAGTAAAATGGAGTTTTAATGTTTGAATCTACAAACACATGGACACACACATACAAATTAACACTGTTTTATGGTCTTACCATTGGAACTGGATCTAAATTCAATTCAAGCAGTTTCTCCTTAACATCCTTTGCAATCTGCTTCAAAATTGGTAATTCAAACTTTGAGAAAAGGTGAGGGCCCAGCTCTCCAGCAAATGAGTCAAAAACCTGAAGCAGCTGTAAGGAATTGAAATAACACAAATGTGATAAAATGATCATGTCAGTACTGAAGAAGAAGAAGAAGTACTGAATGTGACTTTACATTCGAAATACACTGTCAGAGGACTATTTTTGTCTTAACATTTATTTTACAATTTGTCATTTTAAGGTAAATCAAACAGCTTTTGTAGTCATGTTTTCAGTAAATATGAAGTTTTTAAACAAAGAGTGAAATTAAATCAATATTGTGCATCAACTGTTATTCATTCCTACACCTATCATAATTTTTATCCCAAATGGCAAATTGTTAAATATGTTTTAAGGTAATGGTAGTCCCATGATAGATAAAATATGCCTGAAGGTAATGGTAGTCCTATGAGAGATAAAATATGCCTGAAGGTAATGGTAGTCCCGTGATAGATAAAATATGCCTGAAGGTAATGGTAGTCCTATGACATAAAATATGCCTATAGGTAATGGTAGTCCTATGACATAAAATATGCATGAAGGTAATGGTAGTCCTATGACAGATAAAATATGCCTTAAGGTAATGGTAGTCATATGAGAGATAAAATATGCCTGAAGGTAATGGTAGTCCCATGAGAGATAAAATATGCCCGAAGGTAATGGTAGTCCTATGAGAGATAAAATATGCCTGAAGGTAATGGTAGTCCTATGACATAAAATATGCCTGAAGGTAATGGTAGTCCTATGACAGATAAAATATGCCTGAAGGTAATGGTAGTCCTATGACAGATAAAACATGCCTGAAGTTAATGGTAGTCCCATGATAGATAAAATATGCCTGAAGGTAATGGTAGTCCTATGAGAGATAAAATATGCCTGAAGGTAATGGTAGTCCCGTGATAGATAAAATATGCCTGAAGGTAATGGTAGTCCTATGAGAGATAAAATATGCCTGAAGGTAATGGTAGTCCTATGACATAAAATATGCCTATAGGTAATGGTAGTCCTATGACATAAAATATGCATGAAGGTAATGGTAGTCCTATGACAGATAAAATATGCCTGAAGGTAATGGTAGTCCTATGACAGATAAAACATGTCTGAAGTTAATGGTAGTCCTATGAGAGATAAAATATGCCTGAAGGTACGGGTAGTCCTATGACATAAAATATGCCTATAGGTAATGGTAGTCCTATGACATAAAATATGCATGAAGGTAATGGTAGCCTTTGACAGATAAAATATGTCTGAAGGTAATGGTAGTCCTATGACAGATAAAACATGCCTGAAGGTAATGGTAGTCATATGACAGATAAAATATGTCTGAAGGTAATGGTAGTCCTATGACAGATAAAACATGCCTGAAGGTAATGGTAGTCATATGACAGATAAAACACGCCTGAAGGTAATGGTAGTCCTATGAGAGATAAAATATGCCTGAAGGTAATGGTAGTCCCGTGATAGATAAAATATGCCTGAAGGTAATGGTAGTCCTATGACATAAAATATGCCTATAGGTAATGGTAGTCCTATGACATAAAATATGCATGAAGGTAATGGTAGTCCTATGACAGATAAAATATGCCTTAAGGTAATGGTAGTCATATGAGAGATAAAATATGCCTGAAGGTAATGGTAGTCCCATGAGAGATAAAATATGCCCGAAGGTAATGGTAGTCCTATGAGAGATAAAATATGCCTGAAGGTAATGGTAGTCCTATGACATAAAATATGCCTGAAGGTAATGGTAGTCCTATGACAGATAAAATATGCCTGAAGGTAATGGTAGTCCTATGACAGATAAAACATGCCTGAAGTTAATGGTAGTCCCATGATAGATAAAATATGCCTGAAGGTAATGGTAGTCCTATGAGAGATAAAATATGCCTGAAGGTAATGGTAGTCCCGTGATAGATAAAATATGCCTGAAGGTAATGGTAGTCCTATGAGAGATAAAATATGCCTGAAGGTAATGGTAGTCCTATGACATAAAATATGCCTATAGGTAATGGTAGTCCTATGACATAAAATATGCATGAAGGTAATGGTAGTCCTATGACAGATAAAATATGCCTGAAGGTAATGGTAGTCCTATGACAGATAAAAACATGTCTGAAGTTAATGGTAGTCCTATGAGAGATAAAATATGCCTGAAGGTACGGGTAGTCCTATGACATAAAATATGCCTATAGGTAATGGTAGTCCTATGACATAAAATATGCATGAAGGTAATGGTAGCCTTTGACAGATAAAATATGTCTGAAGGTAATGGTAGTCCTATGACAGATAAAACATGCCTGAAGGTAATGGTAGTCATATGACAGATAAAACACAGCCTGAAGGTAATGGTAGTCCTATGACAGATAAAAGATGCCTGAAGGTAATGGTAGTCCTATGACAGATAAATATGCCTGAAGGTAATNGCCTGAAGGTAATGGTAGTCCTATGACATAAATATGCCTATAGGTATGGTAGTCATGAAGCTATGTAATGGTAGTCCTATGACAGATAAAATATGCCTAAGGTATAAGGTGGTAGTCATATGAGAGATAAAATATGCCTGAATGGTAATGGTAGTCCCATGAGAGATAAAATATGCCCGAAGGTAATGGTAGTCCTATGAGAGATAAAATATGCCTGAAGGTAATGGTAGTCCTATGACATAAAATATGCCTGAAGGTAATGGTAGTCCTATGACAGATAAAATATGCCTGAAGGTAATGGTAGTCCTATGACAGATAAAACATGCCTGAAGTTAATGGTAGTCCCATGATAGATAAAATATGCCTGAAGGTAATGGTAGTCCTATGAGAGATAAAATATGCCTGAAGGTAATGGTAGTCCCGTGATAGATAAAATATGCCTGAAGGTAATGGTAGTCCTATGAGAGATAAAATATGCCTGAAGGTAATGGTAGTCCTATGACATAAAATATGCCTATAGGTAATGTAGTCCTATGACATAAAATATGCATGAAGGTATGGTAGTCCTATGACAGATAAAATATGCCTGAAGGTAATGGTAGTCCTATGACAGATAAAACATGTCTGAAGTTAATGGTAGTCCTATGAGAGATAAAATATGCCTGAAGGTACGGGTAGTCCTATGACATAAAATATGCCTATAGGTAATGGTAGTCCTATGACATAAAATATGCATGAAGGTAATGGTAGCCTTTGACAGATAAAATATGTCTGAAGGTAATGGTAGTCCTATGACAGATAAAACATGCCTGAAGGTAATGGTAGTCATATGACAGATAAAACACGCCTGAAGGTAATGGTAGTCCTATGACAGATAAAAGATGCCTGAAGGTAATGGTAGTCCTATGACAGATAAAATATGCCTGAAGGTAATGGTAGTTCTATGAGATAAAATATGCCTAAAGGTAATGGTAGTCCTATGACAGATAAAACTTGCCTGAAGGTAATGGTAGTCCTATGACAGATAAAACATGCCTGAAGGTAATGGTAGTCCTATGAGATAAAATATGCCTGAAGGTAATGGTAGTCCTATGACAGATAAAACATGCCTGAAGGTAATGGTAGTCCTATGACAGATAAAACATGCCTGAAGGTAATGGTAGTCCTATGACAGATAAAACATGCCTGAAGGTAATGGTAGTCCTGTGACAGATAAAACATGCCTGAAGGTAATGGTAGTCCTATGAGATAAAATATGCCTGAAGGTAATGGTTTTCCTATGACAGACAAAATTTGCTTTTAGGTAATGGCAGTCCTATGACAGATAAAATACTGTAGTATTTTGCCTTTTCCCCTGTACTCTCATCATTAATTTGTTTTATTAGCCTCCACAGCTTCCTTGTGTCTCTTTCAAAGTTTAGAGATTTTTTTTTTCTGCTAACTTGCTCATCTAGACTGCAGCTTGGCTCTTTGAAATTTGCCTTCGCACTGTAGTATTTGTTGAATAGCTTTTGACAAGCTCCAGTCTTAGCGGGGTGGGGAGAGGCCTTGCATGGCTGAAATGACATTTTAATTCTGTTATCTCACTGGGATGCTTTAAATATAGTGCGGTATAACAGATCTTGCTTTGAGCTGTTGATGCCAGACGTTTTAACTGATGTAGTGTGGCCTCTGCTGGGTCAGTTAATTAACCTCAAGTTCTGAGATAAGCCAAAAGTCCAGAAGTACCTCAGCGTTGCCAGTTTAAAGGGCACAGTGACATCACTTAATCTCATTATAGACTTTAATAGGAGCTGCAATGGCAAAGTGGCTAGCAAACTTGCCTGCTGACTCTGGTCAGGTGTTTGAATCCAGACAGAAGCAAATAATTTTTTTTATCCGACCTAACTTTCAGCCTAAACTGGGTATCAGAGAACATTCTGGAAATGACAGTTGGCCATATCACCCATAGAGGGCCCAGCTGGTCTATACAATTGTATCGGACTAGCAGCACGTGCTTCAAGGTATGGAAAATGGTCCTTTACCCTCTTCCCATTACATAAACAAAAGCATGTGTATGCGCACACATATAAATTTATAATTTAACAACAGTATTCAAACCTGTGCTCCAGCTTTAACCTGATAAACAAGATGTCTTGTGATAGCATCTCTCAGCATCCCCAAAAGCTGATGGCTGGCATCAGGATGTTCTACTAGAAACGTTCTTGCTTTATTTGGATTTGGTCCTGCACTGACATTTTCTATCATGAATTTCATCAATGTCCACTGAAATTCAAGCACAAAACAAACTTATTGGCAGTTAAATTACATTGTGACAAATCTTACAAATACTGTATGCAACCCTCTTATCTAGAAAATACAATTGCATACCCTACAACACCATGCCCACAACTATACTATGTTCACAATAGTTTCTAATAATTTCAATAACAACTGTACATTACAAAATTTCTTGTTCAAAAGTATCCCATATTTACTTACTGGAGCTCCTGTAAAACCAATCAAGGGGACTCTCCCTTCAAGTTTAACCCTTGTTAATGTGATTGCTTCATAGACATAGCCAAGTTCGGTAAGAATGTCAAAATTTGGATTCAGAATCTTCAAATCATCAGGGCTGGATATAGGATTTCCATAAACTGGACCCTGCAATTAAAAAAACAAGAGTTATTCCAACATGCTGTTATTGCCAAATGGACAAATGTAAAAGTAAGTGTTAAAACTGTGGTTGTTAGACCAGTGTGTCCCAAACTTTTCTTGGTCGTGGGGCCTTTTTTCAATAACAAATTTTCCACGGGGCAACACCCTCAGTAAAAGTATGACTATTCATGTCTTGGTTAAAATAGTTATGAAGCTTAAACAATATTTTGCGGCACCCCTGTGACGAGGTCACAGCTCCCCGGGGCACACAGTTTGGGAATCACTGTGTTAGACTTTAAGCTGATCTATTTCTGAATTTATACAGAATAATTATACCTATCAGACTATACTACATCATGCTCTAATGCAGTGATTTAGACAATGACCTTTGCACTTCTGCAAATACATCAAGCGAGCGGACACTAGGCAGAGACAGTCACAAACTGTAACAACACCTAATTAAACTACTGAAGCAGGGTCTTGGCATCTCCAAAATTTCAGAAAATCGAAACAAGAAGTGATCACTACAAATACAGATTTTCATAAGCACTGACAATTCAGTCTGCTGAAAATAATAGCCTCTGTTTATTACCAATCCATTTTGTTTTAATAACCTGTTCGTAATGAGTGTGTCTTGAATTAACCTAATTCATTTATTCATCGGCATCATATATGTGATCTAGGCCAAAAACAACATCGAGAAGAGAATTAGGTTAGTGAACAAACTGCACATGGGACAGTTGCAAGCTTGGCAATGACTGGACGTCTTGGAACGAGTTGGATGAGAGTCTAAGCTTTCTAAAGAGTAAAGGAGGAAATATCTTATCTAAAGTATAGGAAGGGGAGAGGAGGTGGTGGAAGGTGGTGCAGAAGGCTGAGATGGAAAGAGAGAGATAAAGGAGGTGACAACAGTGAGAGTGAGAGAGAGAGAATAAAGATAATGGAAAGAAAGTTGAGACTGAGACAGGGAGAGAAAGAAAGCAGAATGAAATAAGATGATATATAGAGGGGGAAAGGTAGCAGGAAAGGGGTGCGGGCTGCCCCATGTGTCACCACTGTGGAAGGAAAATGGGGGGTAAGGGGCTGATGTTAAATATGTTTTTAAAATTGCACGTCTATTTAATATGTGAGTGGAGGAGGGAGGAGTGGTGGACATGAAATGTTCTCCACTGGGCATAACACATAACATTGCTAGGCCAACTGAAGAAAAGAGAGAAAGAGAGAGAGAGAGAGAGAGAGAGAGAGAGAGAGAGAGAGAGAGAGAGAGAGAGAGAGAGAGAGAGAGAGAGAGAGAGAGAGAGAGAGAGAGAGAGAGGCAAATACAAAGAAAAAGAGAGAGGAAGGCAGCGACAGACAGGCAAAGACTGAGAGACAGGTAGGACAAAAAGTGAGGGGGCAAGTAAGGAGATGGACAGAGATTAATGCCCACTAACAAATATAACCATCAAAAGACAAAACTGACATCACAAGAAAACATCCACCAGGCTTATGCTAAACCCTAACTGTAGTGAGTGAACCATTTTCTCCTCGATAAATTATGTTCCAGATGGAATAGCGTCAGCTAATAAATATGAATGAGATATTTACATGTAAGAAGGGCAGAGTCGTGAATTACAGAGAAAATGTTGGCCAAATGGAACCCGTGTGAATCTGAGAACACTAAAAAGTTGTGATTGTAATGTGGGCGTATAAAGGTTATATAATGCCTTAGTGGTTAGTCTCGTTTGGGCCAAGAAACGGAGTGCATGAACAACGGAGGAGTGTTTGTGGATCCAGAATGTGTGTGAGTATGAATGTCACTTCAAACGCCCTACCTGGCCAACCAGCGAAGGATTGATGGGAAATTTCGTCTGCCGGCTGAGTTGTACTGTCGCCGACATGGAGATGTTACGAATGCTTCAGTGTGATTTTGGAATGGGCGGATGTGTTTCGATGAGTGCAGGTAATATTGTTACACTAGTTTGTAAACCCTAGATGTCAGGCCCTAGACCTGACCTATGTCATGTACTGGCTGAGAAAATAGCGAGTGGAAGAATAAAGAACAAAATCGTCTTGCGTTGTTTGCTGTCGTCCATTTCTACTCGTCTTGTTGATGTCGGGGTGTGAAAGAGGAGTCTGCAGTGACTAGAGCCAAAGACAATAAGAAGAGAGTCATTGCACCAACACCCCCCCCCCACACCCCAGGGCTCATGCTGAACCCTAACACCCTCCCCCCCCCCCCCCCCCCCCCCCCAACCATAACACAACTTTTTGTTTACTTGACAGCTACTAACTAGAAAAAGACAGTTATGGAGCAGCACATTTAGTAAACAAGAAAACAAATTGGAAGGGGGGGGGAGGAGACAGGAAAGGAGAGAGTAAAAGGAAAGATGGAGAGAAAGAAGATAAAGATCAGAGAAAAGGAAGAGAGACAATGCATGAGATGGGAAGGATGGTTGATCGCCAAACACACTGTAAAGATAAACCGGGCCAAAAATAAAACTGGGAAATCCAGTTGACGTCACTTTGTTTAGCTTAACCATCTTCCAATGTAATCCTTGTTTCTAGAAACAAACTCAAACAGTAAACAAGGTGGCGGCTGCTCCCTTCCGCCTCATGCCATCCGCTGCTGTCTGCATGTATCCATGGGCTGCAACACAATCTGCCCTACCCTAGCCCTTAAATTGCCATTTCAGCTGAAAATGGCTAAATAACCAACTGCCCTCAGACCGGAAATGACCATAAACATTTAAAACAAAGGTAGCCAAAAATAGCCTAACTGCAAAAAATTGCAGGTCTTTCCATGATAGTTCGTTTCACTTCAGTTCTACCATTGTCGCGGTCAAAATTCCAGGTAGATGTCTTTTTTAAGGTCAGTATGTCTTTTCCCAGGTGAAAAGTAAGATTCAAGGTCAAGGCCACAATATTAGGCTAAAATCAAGCTTCCAGGTCGGCTACGAACCCTGTGTCTATTCTTCCACTGTGATGTCATGAGCAAACATCGTGGACTATCTCCCATCCTTAAGAAAGAGAATAGGGGCTTCTGAGCTGAAATGCCATAGAAAGATTCTCAGAATATCTTAGATAAAGAAGAGGAGAAACACTAACATCTTGAAAGATCTGAACATCAAGGAAGATTGGCTAATAAACAGCGTCCTGTCTTGGAAGCTGAAATATTTTGGTCATATCAAATGCTACGACAGATTGAACAGAATTATAGCAGAAGGCATGGTGCCAAGAAGGAGGGGCAAGGGCTGACCGGCACAAAGATGGGCACAGGATATAAGTGACTCCTTGAGTATGAAAGTACATCAGGTGGGAGAGCTGGCGAGAGACTGAATTTCTTTTAGGCAGACGTTCTACAAAGGACCTGCTACATAATGATGAATGTCAGTTTTGTAAGAATACCCGAAAAGCTTGTGCTCTTTCTTATTAATATGTGAAATGAATCGTGGTCTACTTGGAATGAGTCGATGCTTCACTTGGAATCTACAACAATCTTTCCTGAGCTTTTTTTTTTGGCCACCATCTTCAAAAAAAAAATCACCATCAGCAGAATCACAGATCATGTGGTGCTCTTGTCCCACACAGTGCTTGTGGCCAAGCCATCAAGGTATTCATCTCTTTACTTTCCCCCTGTCCCCTTTCCATAAATGTTGCTAGTTGTCACCATGTTCTAAAGTCCATTCCTTTACTCCATACTGACCGGAAGTCATTTCTAGGAATCCATACTAGGCTGGAACTCCCCCCTGGTCTAGCACTGTCTAGTGGACACCATCCTTATGGGCTTTCTTCCAAATTGTATAGTTGATGCTGCCCTGTTTAAAGTGTGAGATAGTTTGGATAACTGATTTTTTTCTATTTGTATAGTGTAATTCATAATAAGGTTCTCAAACCTGTCTCCTTTTATTTCAGCAGTTTTGATCACAAAGGTGAAAACAATATCTCAGACATTGCTATTAAATTTTGATCTGGTGATTTAAGCAGCTGCTACTCATTAGAAAATTGTTTCATCCATAGTTTTGGCGTTCTTAATCCTCGAGGTATTAATATTCAACACAGCTTTATTTATTTACTTGTTCACTTATTTAACTTTATAATATTTCTCCCCATCTTTTTACATACGCCTTCTTACTTATTTTATTTGGTATTATAGCCCTTTATATTCATATTTTTTCCCCATTACATACTCGATTTCAAGTTGACCTTCTTCTTTTAGTTTTCCAATCACAGTGTGTGCTGTATTTAGTACTCCGTTGATAAAAACTTTGGTCGAAATGTTTGATTGTGTTTGTGTGCATCTTTATCATTCCCTCCGTTGAGCTTTGTAGTCACATTTTATTTTATATTTAGCATTTCTTACATTACACTGAGAAAGGTATGAACTGTTTATCAAAATGGTCTCTCCCTCTTTCTCTGTACATCTGACTCTGCTTTCTTTGCTGGACCATCCACTTGGGGAAACACTGATCTACAAGCATGTCAAATATCTCCAACCTGCATAATGACTGCTACCATTTATTTTACTTTTTAAGTAAGCTGTAATTGTTCTGAATCAATGCATTCGGGTTTCAATCAACTTACCTCTCCTGGGTCATTGGCAACAGTGAGACCCATGGCAACTGGAATAACTAAAATATCTGAAAATATGATGGCAGCATCTAAGTTGAATCTCTGGATTGGCTGGGAGGGAAAAAAGAAATATAAATCAGCAAAGCTAAAAAAGAAAAAGACTAATAAATGACAGCCAACAGTTCTTTTATTTCTGCAACTAGGCTTTCTCTTAAAAACAGATAGGCAAATTGCTTCTTTATTAAACAAATTATTTATTTTACCCAATAACAATATTCTATTCCTAACAATATGTATCCAAACATGACAAATGACAAAGTCTTAGTTGAGTTGATTCAGGAACCAGCACCACAGCACGCTGGGCATTCTCTCTTGTAATGATCCATTTGCTCCTCCAAATTGTACACTTGCTCCCATAAGGCCTTAACCATATCTACCTTATCATGCATCAGTATTCCATGGTAAAGTCTTAAAAACTAAATGCAAGCTTCACTTGTACAATCTACTAATTATCTGTAACCAAAATTCACATTCCTGAGGTTTTATTGGAAGGGAGCTCTCCTTTTCAAACAATAACATCTCCTCCTCCTCCCCTCTCAGTACTATCCTAGTAGACATCTGACTTCTCAGAAAAGTAAAATGAGGTTACATTTTAATTGATTTCATCCAAGCTTTTGTATTTATGTTTTAGACAACACATAAATTATTTTATAACTCCTTAATGTACAATATGCCAATAACAATAGACTTGGTTATTTTTCCATGGGAACAGAGTAATCATTCTCCAGTTATTTGTTTCGTATACCTCGAAAGATAAGGAACGGATTAAATATGTACACCAAGGTGCCACTGTATTTAATCAGATCTGTATGCCTTAAGCCAGCCAGACTGAAGGCCTTGGTTTCAAATCCCCACTCAGGAAAAACTACCTTGGCTTTTAGGTTGACCCAGCCTAAAATGGTGCCAGGAATTATCATGGGAAGTAAAATAGACAGCCAGCGTCGCATGACCACATAATCCAATGAATGCCAACTGGTCAGCAAAAATTAACTGTCTAGCATTATATGCTTTATGCCACTGTTTTTCAACCTTTTTTTACCCATGGCCCACCAAAATAGGGGAAACTGTCTCACAGCCACCTGACATCTAGCCAATAACAGTAACGAATTAAGATAGCAGTTTATTTGTTAAATTAATTGTCACAAAATACCCTTTTCAGCCTGTGCAACATCTTTTGATTCTCACCCTTGAGGTTTTAATCCTACAAACTACCTACCCCACCCCGCTACGTGATAAAGCAGAAAATTTTGGCATGCCATCTGGACTCTTCCGCAACCCATGGGTTGAAGAACACTGCTCTAACACTTGTTTGAAAAAGGTCTTTTACTCTCAAATCTTTACTTCAACATTTAAATGCCAAGGGTGTATAAGTGCCAAAAGAACTGTACACAGCTAACATTAACTACTCTATAGGCCAAGAATGGATGATATACAGTGAAACACAGATCTATTACTCTGTACAAGATCTACTGAGAATAACTAGGAAAGATATTATCAAAGAAAACAGTCACAACGTGTATTGATTTCTGCAATGGTATAGAGTGTCCATTGTTCAGGAGCCATGGCAAACTACTAAATGTAAACATATCTGGTTTTTAAAAAAAAATTAACAAATGCAGGAATTGGTGTGAAACATCATGTAAAGGATTTGAAAGTAAAGGACTAGGCACACTCATATAATTTGCCTTTTAGCAAGAATGACTGGAGCAGATTAAAACAAGGGGACCATAATTATTTTGTGAGCACCAAGAATAATAATCTGACAGTGAGCACATGTTAAGATGTTTATCCACAAGATCCAAGCAAGCTGAGGCCCAGCTCAAAGCCTATATATGTGTAACCAGTAACAAACCATGTTCTTCATAGCAATATAGATGGCACTATGGGGAAAAAAAGGAATTAAACAATAAGGTATTCAATGGCAAAAGTACAGGGTGCTAGTGAAAGGGTTACCACAGACGAACATGTAAATAGAGGATATAACTAGCATTAACAGTAACAACTACCATTAGGAGATCAGATTACAGAGAATGGTGCACTGGGAGGCCTGATTTGGAAATTAAAAAACTGCATAGTCATCATCATCATGTAGCTGGTCCTTTTGAGAACGTCGCTCTAATCATGGTCTGCCTGAAAAGAACAAACTTGGTCGCGCACTAGCTTTCCCATCTTGTGCACTTTCATACCCAAGGATTCACTTACATCCTGGGACCATCTTCATGTTGGTTAGCCCCTCCTTCTTGGTACCATAAATCCTGCTATTATTTTTTTCAAATCCACCGTGGCACTTGATATGGCCAAAATATTTTAACCTCCAAGACAAGATGCTGTTTATTAGTCAATCTTCCTTGATGTTCAGATCTTTTACAATGTCAATATTTATTCTCTTCTTTGTCAATTTTATTATGAGAATTTGTCTATACAATTTCAGCTCAAAAAAAACCATTATTTTTTCCATTAATACAGAGATAGTTCATGGCTAACATCCCTATGTTGCTACAGAAAAGATGTGTGCTCTCAAAATTTTGACTCTGATTTTCTTGCTGGTGCTTAACCATAAACCATTACCTATTGTGCCATAAGTGTTAGAGTTGTATAAATAAACAGTTAACAGTAATCTCCAATGTGACATTACATAAGCCTAGATTTCCCTCAAGTGTTAAAAAGTTATAAATAGTTAACAGAAATCTATACTCTACCTGCAAAGTAAGCTCTGATACTAATTCTGGATTTCTGCATGTTTCAAAAAACTTTGTCTTTCCTTTGGCCTCTTTATACTCTGGAAATAAATGTATTCTTACAAGTGTACATATTTTGATTAAACAAAAACATTTCACGTTGTCTGGATATCATGAAAGGAAATAGATTAAGGTAGAAGATCACTCAGGAATCCTAAAATAGGACCAACTGCATTGAGCTGAGTTGAGTCCAGAATTGACATCACAACGCTCGGGACATTTCAATGCATGCTCCGTTCTCATCTTCAGCAGCCAGCGCTGAGTTCCAATACTGATGGTACCGGTCACAATCTGGTTATATGTCCATCTTGCCTTTCCTCTGAGTGTACTGAGCCAGCCAGACCCTCAAGTTACAACCAGATGCCTCATTCTCTGAAGGCCATAATAATCTTCTATCTCTACTGATTAAGTTTCTTGTTTCCAAAGGGCCTATACCACATCTGCCTTCTTGAGTATCAATTCACTACCCAGTGGTGCCGATCCAGCCAATCTGTCTCTCTGTTCATTACCCACCACGCCGGCATGGTCTGGAGAAAAGCTCCAAAGTATGCTCACTACCCGTGACTTTTCCAGTGAAGCTTGCCACTCTGCTCGAATCATCCCTATCTTCACCCTTCTCAGCATGCTTTCAGTCTGTTACAATTACGACATGCGTATGCATCTTGTTCTCTAGCCACCGGAGAGCTGCGGTTACCACCTCCACCTCCATTCTCATGCTAGATGTTGTGGTGTTGAATGCCAGGCTGTCTTGCACTAAAGATTTTCCATTAGCTTTCACTACGAACCCCCAGGCACTTCACTTTCCTCTTAACACCAAACCATCTGTACAGATAATCAGATCACCTAGGCGTAAATTGTCATGAATCAACTGTCGGACTTCCACCTCCATAGCACCCGCTGGCTACTCTCGGCACACCTTAGACTTTTACGCTGGTACTCTGACCCACTTCTCTCCTCGCCCAATGTTCTCCAGCATGCATACTTTTCTTATTGTATCTTCTGCTTGAGCCATCCACGATTTTTCCCTTTGAAGTCTTTGACCCTTACCTGCAGCCAAAGCTTCATACATAGGGTGTTCCCTGTCTGCAGCTACTCTGAAGTAAGACTTGGCCTGCAGTACCTTTAGCCTATCTGCAACAGTCTGCAATGCAAGGATGTATCGCATGCACATTATTGGGGTTTCTCTTGTACATCCCAGGATCTGCTGCATAGCTTTATTCTGTATGTGCTTCAGTTTCTCTAGCTGACTCTTCAAGACAGTGAATAACCCGAATCCATAATCAATCAATAAGGATAATTTAGCGCTGGTAAAGTGTGAACAGCATTATCTGCTCCATGTCTATTGCTGCCACAATCTTTGGTGCATTTAGACCTTTTTAAGCCATTGTCACAACTCCCTCTATGTGATCCTTGAAGGACAAACTTCTGTAAAAGGTGATTCCCAGTTACCGCAGTCTGTTGTCTCTTTTGATGTCCCTGTCATTTATTATGAGTCTGGAAATATCAGCTCTAACAATCCTGTTGTCCATCTCATCAACCAATTCACTCTTAATCACACTTGGCATATAATATATGTTCATAATATTCTAAGGCCTGTAGTAGAACTGCTGAAATTGTTTAAAAGATTTGTTAAATATTAGGTATTCCACACTCACATATAACAAGTAATTTGTGTAATTAAAAAACCTTGAAAGTAAAAAAAAAAACAAAAAAAAACTTTCATTAATCAAGGAAACATTTGCCAAATAGACAGATATCAAAGATTTTGTAGAGAAGTAACACACCAACAAAACCCAAACTATAATGGCACTGTCTGGATGACTATACAATATTACATTTCAAAACATTCTGAGAAGGCAGAAACAAAATTCTGTGGACAGATTTTTAGAAGAGAAAAGAAACAAAAACAAAACTGAACAGAAATTCCCCATATTATAAACTGTTTTAACATCCTTTTCCTTGTAAACCAATATTTTAAGTCAATAATTTGTGTAAACTCGTGTAAACCTATATAAACAAACATCAACTCATGTAAACACAAAGATACAGCCTCTTAAACAGATTCTAGTTCTGTAGAAAATTGTTTCAGGGTGGTGAGATGGCCAATTTAATGACCATATCATTAATGAAATGCTGATTGGACACAATATATAGTTCTATAATTGTATGTATGAAATGTAGCATGAAATCAGTGGAAACATCATCACTACTTAGATATGCCTACCTGGCAAGTAACGTCCAGCTTGCCTCATTAACCAGACAGGCACTCTCTCTGTTCTCTCTCCTCTTGCAGCTCTTAGGATCAAGTCATTCTTTAGTGGTGCAAAGTTCTGGCAAGAAGACATTAGGTGATTGAAACAGCTACAAACATAGATAAACAAGACATCAGATGAGTGAAATAGCTGCAAACATAGAGCAATAAGACGGTGAAACAGCTACAAACAAAGAGCAATAAGACAGGTGAAACTGCTACAAACATAGAGCAATAAGACATCAGATGAGTGAAACAGCTATGAACATAGATAAAAAAGACAATAGGTGATTGAAACAGCTATCAACATAGAGCAACAAGACATCATGTGAAACAGAGCTTGCCAGCCAAAGCTGTAGAAGGGGAAAGGATACAAGAGAAGGACCATCCAAACAAAGTAATGATTTATACCCAAAAACAAATATGTAAACAGTGATCTTTCTTGGTTTCGCACAACCCTTTCACCCCGAGAACTCTAATAAAAAGTCACAACCATATTAAGATTCCTGAAAACAATTGTGAAAATAAGTAAAACACACATCTCTTATAAATTAGTTTAAAATGTATTTATCGACATTTTAAAATTATTTGTCTAAATATATGAACTTATATGAAAGGAGTAATCAATTATTACATATGGGGGAGGGGGGGGGGGGGGTGAAGCTTTAAATTGAATAAACCCCCCCCCCCCCCCCCCAAAAAAAAAAACTGGTATCAGGTGATTCATGCTGTGACCCCGAGAAGTTTACCACAGAGGCTTTTGATAAAATCTCAGTAATGCATCTTCCATCTGATGTTATCCATGTGCCCAGATACTTAAATTTCCGTACTTGTCCCAAAATAACACCATTGAGTTTTATGACACATTTAGGAATAATTCTTTTCTTTGATACCACCGTTACTTCTGTCTTTGCATTATTCAAACTGAGGCCCATACTTCCACTTTCTACCACCACAATGTCTATCATTTTCTGTAGTTCTTTCTGACTTGTTGCTAACAAGACTGTGACATCAGCATTATGTAAATTGTTTATATTATACTCACAAACCACAATTCCGGGCAAATCAATTAAAGATCTCATTATATATTTACTGTATAGTGAAAATAAATCAGGTGACATTACACATCTGTGCCCTATGCCTCTCTTTATGCACTGAAATGTACCTAAACAGTTGTTAATTCTTATAGCTGCAGTTTGCTGTTAATAAATATTTTTTTATAATTCATCTATCTTTTCCATCAATATTTAATTTTTCTAACAGTTTGATTACTCTTTTATGTTTTGCACAGTCAAATGCTTTTGCATAGTCTATGAAGCATAAGTACAAATCAGTATTTACTTCTATAGCCCTTTCTGACAATGTCCTTATGATATATGTCATTGTTTGTACCTTTTCCTTCTACAAATCCACACTGTTCATCGCTGATTTCTGGTTTAATTTTGTTTCTTATTCTTCTCGTAATAATTCTCAGTAACATCTTAGTCATGTAACTCATAAGACGTACTGTGCGATGGTCTTTACATTTTAAAGTGCCTGATTTCTTTGGCAGAGCTATAAGTATGGATTTTAAAAGGTCATTTGGAATGTATCCACAATAATAAATATCATTTAAAAGTTTAGTTATTATTTCAATCCAAAATCTCCCAGTGCTTCTATTTTTTTTTCCAGTGAGATGTCTGGCCCGGGTGCTTTTCCTTTCTTCATATGATGCAATGCATTCTCAACTTCTGCAGTCATTACTGGTGGACCATCATTGTTGGCCTGCAATTCTACATCTGATCTATTATCATCATACAATTCCCCTATACACTCTGTCCATCTATTAATTATATTAACATGTTCCACTAATAAGTCGCTATCTCTTGATTTTCAACATCCAGTGCTGTTAAGTAGTGTAATATTTCCTGTACACATATTTATCTGTTGGTACATGGAATGTGAGTCTTTCCCGTGATTTCCCCCACATTTGATTCAGCCAGGTTTCTTTAGCCTTTTTGCATTTGTTCACTATTTCTTTTTGAATTCTATAGTATTTTTCTTTATCATTCTTTTTCTTCCTTCTTTCATCCATAACTGCAGAATTTTTGTTGACATCCATTTTTTTTTTGCAACTCTATGGGTTGATGGGATTGACTCTTTTGATGTCTGCTGAATTGACTCACACAACTGTTCATCAATAGTCTGTATAAATTCCATTGTATTATACTGGTTTTGTACAGTGACACTGAACTGTTTCTTAATTTCTTTATCCGTTCTTAGTATTCCTAAATTTAACTTGATGTTCTGTGTGTTTTCGTAATTTTCTTTAGTTTTATTCCAATCTTTCCTATAAGTGGAACATGACCACAAAAGCAGTCTGCTCCTGGTCTAGTCTTTGCTCCTATTAAGCTGCTCCGGAACCTTCTTGAAATCAAAATATAATCAATCTGATTGCGGACATTATTCAAGAATTGTGTTTAAGCCAGGTGTTACCTATTATCGTGCTGTGCAACTCAGCCCATGCTATTAATCTGTCACCTCCCACATTCTTTTCTCCTAGGATTTTTCAATTTCTATTTTCGCAGTGAAATCCCCAAGCACCTTTGTTGCTTCACAATTTTTGCATTCATCAACAGCCATGTATAACTCGTCATAAAATGTGTCAATATAGTTCTCTGAACTATCTGTTGTTGGGGTATAAATCTGTACTAAGTTGATGTCAAATGGTCTGCCATTAAGTTTTACTAATAGTACTCTATCTGATATTGTCCAAAATCCTTTCATAGTTTTTGAGTTCTTTGGATCCAAAAAAAGACCAACTTCCTTACTATATTGCTTCCCACCTGAGTAATTAATTCTGTGCTGATCTTAATACTTTTTTCCTGCTCCTGGCCATCGCATTTTACTAATTCCTAATATGTTGGTGTTCATTCTCTTCATTTCCACTTTTATGTTATCCAACTTTCCATTCTGCACGAGTGTTCTGACATTCCATGTACCAATTTTCAGGATTTTTCGACCCTTTATTTTTTCAAAACAGCCGGATGATGGTCAGGTATCACCCATAAAACATGATGCTTCCTATCCAACAAGGGGATTCCACTGGAATCCCCATTTACGTCATCTGAATTAGTTATGTTTTGAGGCATTATTTTCTAGGGATAAAACAGCAGTGGTTTCCCCTTGCTTTCAGCCCGTTTGTATATGGTTTGACTCCAATTGCCTTTGTCTAAAGAGACATACCATGCAAGTCAGCAGAGGGGAGAGGTTATGGCACCTCTTACCCGCCCATAACCATGTCGTAGAGTTTTGAGGTATTTTATCGAGTTAGCTGTCTTACCAACTGACTCGCCTCCTCTCAATGACCATCAGATGTTTTGGTCCACGGCCACTTATTCAATATATTCATGTCTAGAGGCCTTTCCACCATCCACCACCCGGTAGACGGGCCTAGAACTAGGACAGGCTCTTTCCCTAGACCTGTCCTACTATTATATATCTACTATTATAACTATTATATATCTTGTGAATGTCACTTGCCATTTAAACCTTAATAGAACTTGTGCAACCCAGCTATAACCCATACAAAACCACAGTACTACAACTATCCTGTACTTTCAATAGCTAACGAAAAACTACTACAGCCATTACCACAAACTCTTTCGGACTTTGGAACAACAACAGAGGATCTGGGTGGATAACTCAGCAGCTTCCGGATTATTAGGGATATGAATTGAAATGTCACAATTTAACAACAAGCCCACTGCAGTGTCCAAAAGTTATTTGAAATTATACAAAATGTAGACAAATCAATTTTTTTTTCACTGCAGTAAACTGTTCAGATGTATTTCCCTACCATCTACAATTCTTACATTGCACTAATGTGCAACAGCAGCCTTGGGGTTACAGACTCACAGGTTATGAGCAATGAGACAGGAATTTTTTTTTCCTAACATAGATTCACAAACTCTCTTCTATCTTCTAGCAGAGTTAAGGTTGTCTAGCTTCTCTTCTGAGAAGTAAAAAGTTAAATTAAATAGCCTGCCAATAACCCTTAGAGCACCATGGTCGGCATCACCTCCATGTGGTGCCTGCTGGAAAACGCTGCGAGATTTCAGGCTAACAGGGCAATGGCTCAGGTGGAATGAGACAGGCACCAACCAGGTCAGTTTTTGAGAATGGGAGACAGAGAGATGGAACTGGTTGAATTTAGGATTAAAAATGGAAATGCTGTCACCTACCAGTTAGTCCCCCTGCTTACGTCTCCCTTCCAGCAAAACAGTAAATGATTAATGGTATCTTCATCCCTACTTTAGGCTTTCAGTGCCAAACATGGACAATGTATAAGACACTAGAACATAAAATAACTACCTGTGATGTCTCTGCAAAGTCACTAACAACACAAGAAGGGACAGGGCTACCAATACCAGCATTAGAAGTTGGAATAAGAATATGTCTCAATTATATTTACAGACAAATTAAAATAGTTCAGCCATCTAGTCAGGGGTCATATGACCTTTTGGTGGTTGGAATACTCTCCCCTTTGTTACTGTTGTGTAGTTCAGTTCATGTCAAGAAAGGCCCTGGCTGAAACATTGATTTGTGTTGTATTGTGCACATTGTTCTGCTTCCCCATTTCATTAGGTTTTTTTAGTCACAGATAACTGGATTAATTTCTTGAACATAAAGTGGCAAGACAGAATCCCTAACACTGAAGTCCTTAACAGAGCTGGACTGCCCAGTAATTGCTCGATTCTAAAGCAATCACAACTTCACTGGGCAGGTCATATAGTCCGCATGCCGGACCATAGACTGTCAAAATGTAAATCTATGGTGAGTTACAAAAATGAAAATGCTCTCAATGTGGACAGAAGAAAAGTTTCAAGGACAACTTTAAGACCTCAATGAAAGACTTTTGTACTGATCCTAAAACCTGGGAAGTCGCTGCCTGTGACAGTTCATCCAAGCGATCCTCTCTTTATTGAGGAGCTGTGGCCCAGGAAGCTTCTAGAACTGCTGCAGTAATTCAGAAAAGATACGCCAGGAAAAACACTGCAGCAAATCACCAGCAAGATGCTACCTCAATTCTCTGTCCACAGTGCTCAAGAACTTTCAGTGCTAGAATTGGCCTTATCAGCCATCTGCACACTCTTAAAACCTAATCCAGCTACCATTGGATGAAAGGGCCAGTCATTATCACCTGGGCTGGACGAACTACATTTACACATAAATATAAATTGTGTATATTTCATATACATTTAATGTGACTAGTTATTAGCCCATATTTAAAGTAGCTGTGAGTCATAGACTATAACAAAATACACTGACTGATGTGGTTTAGAAAGAACAGTAATAATAGTTGACATGGTTCTTGGAAGAAAAGGGTCGACCAGCATGCAGACAAATCTGAAAACAGATCTTTTAGTTAGGACAGAGGAACAGCTGGCCTAGCCGTTACAACATGGGGCTCTTATGTTAGAGACATGAGTTTGACCCACGGTAAAGTGATGGAGTTTTTCTATGGGGAGCAGAATTAAACATCCGGCTGTCCTCGGAATAACGGGCACACATTATAGCAGCCGCGTAAAGGCCCCCTGTCTATATCGCCCTAGAAAGTAGTAAAACAGACAGTAGTGACAGTTAAGAAACTTCTTGGAAATGAAAACATTATATGATTATATTAATATTCATGGGGCAGGTAACATGAGATGGGTCCAAGAGTTTTCAGGCGAGAGTGGTATTTTTTTAGGGACTTGCTGCCTGGCGACATATAAGACTGAGCAGTAGTTTTTCCTTAGTGATTCAGTCACATTTGTTTTTCTTTTAAAATCCGGTGTGTCTTGATTCATCAGAACAATCAGCCAGTGAGTTGAGTTGGCCGTTAGTCCGATCTTCATAGTCATTGAATTCGTTCTAAAAAAATATTGAAATTGCATCATCATGCTGTGGGGGTTTTTTGCACTTGCTTGTAGCCTTGTAAAACTGCCATACACTTAACATTCTGAGTGTTTGTCAGACGTTTATGATACCTTCACAAAGTAACTAAATGTTCAAACCTGACAATGTGGCGTGTTGGGCGCAGCCATTTTTCTGGACCGGCAAAAGTGCTGTAAGTGTTGTAAGTTGTAACTGTAAAGTATCAGGGTTGCCAGATAAAAATTAACAAAATCTGCCAAACACTATCTAGAAAATACCAGAAAATGCCAAAAGTTAATAATGGCAAATTAATACTCATAATAACAGCTCCAGAATAAGGTAATTTCTATGGTCCACTGAAAGTAGCACCATACAAAATCAGCACCATACATTTTTTCAGTAGACAAAGTTATCGTAAAGTTATTAAAACAACTACAGGATGACCATATCGCCGGGACAGTTTCGTTGTTTTTTAAGTAGGCCCAAACAGTCCAGTCAATGTTTGTTTTTTTAATATCCAGAAACCATGAGTTGTTAACCGTTTTGCTCGGTACTAAGAATATCGCCGTCAATATGAAACCCTTTCTTGTCCCAACGGCCTTTTTTTCAGTATCGACGGGACAATCTAGTTAAGCTAGTTGCGTATGCTTTACAGGACGTCGCAGAACCAACCCCAGCATTTTGTGGCTGTTGTGAGTTTCTAGGCAAATTTTACGTTCAGTAGTTTGCCATTGCTTCTGACTGGTCAGTTATGGGTACCACTGTCGAAACCAACGCAAGACAAATAGTCCACTGCTGAGATCAAAACCCGGCATTACAAAGCTTGTTCGCATTGCCTAAGCCACAGAATCTAGGCGTACTTACAAATAAAAACGATACTGTCCTTGTGAAAACGGGACTTTAATCACACTATGCAACTGAGCAAGATCGCCCACGCCAGTCAGCAAGGCACCTGATGATCATGATGCAACTAAGCAGTTTTGCTAATATCCTCACAAAAGAAGATGCAGCTGCGCTTTAATTTGTCTTTTTGTTTTGACTGATGATACAAAAGAGAACTCCTTCTTAATAACTCCATTACTAACTGGAGCTATAAAACTGATCAAATCAAATATTGCAAACCCTTTGCCTTTACTTTAAACGACGAAACTATGGGGGTGACTGCAGTCAAGCTAATACAATGAATTCCAGAGAAATTTGACTAAAAAGCTCAACAAAATGGGAAAGAGGAAAACGTGCACAAAACAACACAACGTAACGTTTCGGCCAGGCAGCCTTTTTCAAACACAAGTGAAAGACACAAACGAGGAGTGGAGAGTATGTAGATCTCTAAGGGGTGACGTGAGCGACGTTTAAAAAAATGTGATGCGGAATAAATGAAATAAAATAAAATAAACGATGGCTAAAAAATATAGTCACAATACCGGGAATAAAAGAAATGCAAGTGTTAATGATACATAAATGATACTGATAAGAAATAGAATAAGGTAATAATATGAAATGGAGAAAAAAAAATTTAACAAAAAAAAATTAACATTTAAAATGTGATAAGATTAGAACTATTTAGATGAAGGTATGTTGGATATTGATACCTCTTGGACTAAGAACGCCAAGGCTGTGGATAAGGCGATTTTCCAAAGCGAGGCGGGTAGTATGATCGCCAGAGCAAGATTTTAATGCTGTGACAGATATGTCATCTTTACCGCTGTGGTCAGGGCTATTAAAATGAAGAGGGATTGGTTTGAGTGTCTTCTTGTCGATATCGGAGAGGTGTTCCCGGAAACGATCAGCTAGCTTCCTGCCAGTCTCCCCAATGTATGCCTTGCTGCATCGTTTGCAGATAATTGCATAAATTACGTTGCGGGATTCGCAAGTAAAAGGTTCCCTAATTTGAAAAGAACCATCAGGGAAACTGACCGAAGAAGTCTGGACAACGAAAGGACATGTCTTGCAGGTGCTACGTGAGCACTGAGTAGTCCCAAAAGGAAGTGCTGTGTGGATCGGTGGGAGTCGGCTTCGGACAAGTATGTCTTTAAGGTTGCGATCTCGTCTGTAAACTAATCTAGGTTTCTCACTAAAGATAATCTTGGTGTCCGGATCTGAGCGGAGGATGTCCAAATGACGAAAGAATACTTTGGAACCACATTGTGAGGGTGAAAAGTCAAGATCAATTTAGGTCCATCATTGGTGGAGTGAGGTGAATTTGAAAGTATGATAAACTGATAAACCCGGGCAAGTTTCCGGAGGTGTAAAGGAGATACATAGATGATGGCGTTGGTATCACCGAAATGTCCATGGTTGAGCTTGACCAATTTATTACTTACATCAACAATTTCAATCCGGCTATCAAATTCACCTCACTGATCTCCACCACTTCAGTTAACTTTCTTGACATAACGATTAGCATCGATTTTCCGTGTCTGAAAACCACAGCCTACTACAAACCTACGGATTCTCACAGTTATCTCCTCTATACGTCTTCTCACCCACTACCGTGTAAAAATTCTATTCCATATTCACAGCTCCTTCGATTGCGCAGGTTGTGCTCTGATGATTCTGACTTCTTTGATAAATCAGTTGAACTTCTTGAATTCTTCCGTGCCCGTTTCTATCCGGAACACATTCTACAAGGGGCTTTAAACAAAGTTTTAGCAATCACCAGGAGAGATGCTTTTCCTACCAAACGTAACTCCACCAATGATGGACCTAAATTGATCTTGACATGTCTCTGTCTCGTCCTTGCATCTGATTCTATTACAGGCCGACCTCTACTGCGATATAAAGAGGTGTGCAAGCGGGACATAAGTGATACAGGTATTGAGAAGGACTCGTGTGAACAAAATGCCATGGGTCCTGTTGTGTGGGGGGGGGGGGCACATCAGGAGGAGAATGAGAATGAAGGGTGAAATTATTGCAGAAAGGATGAGAGCTGAGCGTCTGAGAAGATACAGACTAAACACAAAAGTTCACAACAATGCTCCTGAAATCCCATTCTATCATTGTGGAAGACTTTTCTTAATGCCGGCTGGTCTTGCTATTCACACTCGCCATCGCCATGGGCTGTGAGTCCATGCCTACTCACAGCGCAACATAACACTATCACATGAAAGGACGGAAAGGTGCCAATCAATCAATGTGATCAATATATGTTCTCCTAGGGCGGCCTCTTGCTTTCCCTTCAGATCTTTACATGCTTAGCGCCTGCGTTGGTAGTTATTCTGTCTGCATTCTTACTAAATGACCAAACCATTTGATCTTCTGTTTCTCAAAGAATTTGCTACATGGTGTTGTTCCTACAGTCTGTCTGATAGCATCATTTCTAACTTTGTCTCGGATGGTTAAGTTGGCTGCTTTTCAGAGGCAGCTCATTTCACAAGTGTTAATTTTACATAGGTAAGCCTCTGATAATGTCCAAGTCTGGCTCTGTGTTGGTAAGACAATGATGTTCATAAGCCTTATTGTTACAATGTGCTTAGCTAATCAAATTCACCTGTATGTGATAGCTTCCTTGGTTCTGGCCAATGCCACATATCATCCTGGTGCACCACCTCATGGGCAACAATTAATCCCTCAAAAGCGAAAGTCCCTTGGTTCTCATTAAATAATCACCTTTCGAAAACACCAATGCCGATAGTAAAACTCTGTGACACTGACGTGGAGAGATCTGATTCCATGAAATACCTGGGTATAACATTTTACAGATGCTTACCATTTAAAAAAAAACACACGTAGACCACATTATAACCAAAGCCAAGAAAGGTCTCTCAATAAAAGTTATAGGAGCTGCCAATTTTGAGCAACGGCTACTTGTAATGTTGTATCGTTTATTAGTTCTCTCCACCATTAAATATGCCTTGGCCATCATAACAATCAGCACCACATAGATAGACAGACTAAAAAAAAAAAACTGAAAACGAGGCAATGCGTATTATTCTTAGATGCACTAGAGACACCTCCTGTAAATCCATGCGATACCTCTTGGATTTCCTAACAATGGAAAACAGAATCAAGCTATCCATGGCTGTTGCTTTCCTCAAAACTTAGTCAGACCATCGACACCCACTTTATGAGGAATTATTTAAGCAAAAAAAAGAGTAGACTCAAACGAGGCAAATCCTGGATGGATCGGGCTGAGGATGCCATCGAACATGTTAGTTAGTTAGTTAGTTAGTTGGGTTATCGTCATTGCACTCCGGACATGTCCATAGGTGCTCAGATCCTCCCCTCAGTATGAACCCCAACGTCTGATGGCTAATAGTACCAGTTCTATGTTGATTAACAAGTCTTCTGACGTGTCCGGTGTGCGTCTCGTTTTTTGCTGTGCCGATCTTAATTCCCAAGTCTGCCATTCTGGCGAGTGATGTGGATTCACTGCCACCAAAGTCCTCTATCCTTCCCATTTCTCTGAGGGCATTGATAATATCAGCATGATCCATAGGCCGACCGTCGGTAGTGATAGCGGATCCAGCCAACCTGTCAGCTCTTTCATTTCCATCGACGCCTGCGTGTCCCGGAACAAAAATAAAGGTGACTCCACGCACAGTGGACTTCTGTAATGATTCAAGCCATTGTCTTCGCACTGAACCTGCCTGAACCCTCCGGATCATACTCATTGAATCACTGAGTATACATATGCGGGTGTATTTTTGTGTTTCAAGCCAGGCAAACGCTTGCGTCACTGCCATCACCTCCATCGTCATGCTGCTGGTTGTCATGGAGAAGGCACCGTTGGCTTCTTTGACTGTTCTGCCCGCTGAGCGTGCTGTAAATGCCCATGCGCTTCTTCTTTGGCGTATAACGGATCCGTCTGTATAGATTAGTGCATCTGCTTCGTCTGAATTTTCACCGATGAGAGCGTTGACCTCTGCATTAACAGCAACAGGATTCTCTTCTCTACATCGCCTGTTGAGTGTGACAATACAGGAAAATGTACAAATAAACGCCTGAGGCACAGGTATCCATTCTGCACCAGGTATGATGTCGGTTAGGCTGCATATTTGCCTAATAACATCTTCTGCCCGACCTAGCCACGATTTTCCCCTCTTCAGTCTGTCGCCCTTTTCACTAAAAAGCACTTGATGCAGTGGGTGTTTCTTATCAGCACATATTTTGAGGTATGCCCGAGCCCTCCACATCCTGATCCTTTGGTTCATTGTTGGAAAGTCAAGTA